GGGGGAACCCAGGTTTTTTGGGGGGGGGGGGGGGGGGCGCTGTTACGAAGCCGCCCCCCCCCCCCCCCACCTTCCCGCCTTGGCGTGTGCCATTTGGTACGGTTTAGAATTCTAATTTCAAGAGGGGACCATTGATGTGATTATTTCTGAAATTGAAGGGGACCCACCACTGGACCCACCTGCTTCTGTTAATACCTCAGAGGGCATCTGTCTTTTTTAATTTGATAATTTTGTATACTCAAAATCAAATTGATGGGTTGTTCCATTGATCAATCATTCACTCAAATTATGAAGACACAAAACACAGGGTTTCCAGAAAAGTTGTTAATTGGATTGTTTTGCAAAATATTTTATCAGCCCTGTATAGCTTTACAATTAAGTAAAACGATGATGTTTGTGAGCCATATTTCCCCCAATTTACTGCGACTCCTTTCATATTGCATATTGCAAATGAACGGTTAACACTTGCTTTGTCACAATTGTAAATTACGTGCATTCCATCATTAACTCGTAAGTTCGAAATGGTTTCCTAATCACTCGACCTTTATGAACATTAAAAAGCTGCGTGATCATACAAACAATGATCAAACTAGTGATTGATTCAGTTTCCTGCCATTACCGAGCTGCTTCCGTGCTCGAAGCGGAATCCGAAGATTCGCAATATTTGATACTAAGTGTTGCAGAATTTTTGTCACACAGCGTAAAAAAAACCTAGCTTATATTGGCCATATAGGTACACAAAAGATCCAAATAGGACCAAAGATCTTACAATATCAAAGGTGTATTGTACCGCCGTGCGCTAGGTTAACGATAGTTAAAATAGACTTTGCTACATTGAGACTTCATCCTACAGATAGCCGTTGACGCTATGGTCGGTCAGCAACGCTTTGCTCTCCTGCTGTATTCTTTGGCTGTGTGTCTGGTGCTGTTAGTTGATGGAGGTAGGTAGATTATCATAAATAACAATGTTGTATGTTTTCCGTTCGCGTGTAATTTCAAGTAACGGCCAATAATCCTAACTTTCGTGTTCTAGACTTTTCGTTTATTGATATCCGAAACATACGGGCCTAAAGAAGAACGATAACAAAATCAGCTGAAAGTATATCGAAATAACAGTTGTCAAAACTTTTACGTTTGCCAGCGGTCTTTTGCAGCCACCTTTGGATGACTGTAGAACAGTGAAACTGATAGTGTTAATGTTGTCCTTTGTGTGACAAGCTCACTAAAATTTGGAGGTGTTGATACTATGCATGCCTTGAGCATGGAGTAGTGAAGGCGCATCAAAACGTGAAAGTGACAAATAAAATGCGAAAGATTAAAAGAAATAAAGAAATTACAAAAAAAAAAAAAAAAAAAAAAAAAAAAAAAAAAAAAAAAAAAAAAAAACGTGGCCTGGTGTGACCTTCGCAGCTTTTTATGGGTGGTGATAGATAATGAGATCTTAACTATTTATCTAGTCGTTTTTGTTTTGGAATTGTTATTATCATCTTTTTCTTTATTTGGTCGAACATCTTTCATCTGTGCGCAGAGAAAATCTAACAGGGTAGTGTGAACTGTCTTATGTGATAGATCATGTAATGGACCAACAAAAAGAAAAAATATTTTAAAATAAATAGCAAATGGTGTCTTCTTTTTCTTCGGGTCGACTTTATGAACCAAAAAATGCTCCAAATATAATATTTAAAAAACGTGTGTCGTAGGAGCAATCTTCCTTTAACATCGTGTCGTATGTTGTTTCATAACTATTTCTTCTCTCTTTCTTCATTTATATATTTTTGTTTTAAACACACTACAGAGTTGATAGAGCGGGGATGAGAGTGAATTCTCATCTGCTGTAAACATCGCCTTTGCTGAGTATAAATTGTACTATAACTCGACTTTTTATCAGTTTGCACTCAAGGCAATTGCTTCCATTCCAACTGAAATGCTCGCGCTTGATTAGTTAAGAGGGCATGTATCCGTAGCAGGTTTATCAAAAAGAAAACTAAAAAAACTTTTCTTCCATGAGATACCAAGGAACGACAGGTACTCAAATTATACATTATTCAATTTTTTAACATGTCCAAATACAGTCGCACTGGTGGCAGAATTTAATTTGATTTCTCTTCAAAACTTCTTCACTGTTCAACGTTCATTGCCATTACGTATTTGCACAACCAAACGATATTAAATTCAACATGAGCTACTGACATCATAGCAATTACAAACATGACTTGCGTTTTTTTTTTTTTTTTTTTTTTTTTTTTTTTTGCGTGGTTTTGATTCGCATAAGTTTGCATATCACCAGAGGCAACTAGGAATTACGCAGATTTTACCAATTCATACTGCTTCTAAACTTGTCACTGCATGTACAACAGTATAGAATTTCTAATCATATAGTCTACAACCCTGTCATGCGCACACATGCACATACACACACACACTCATTTGTTGCGATCGGCGTCAGTCAACTAACGGCATGGGCCCTATAGAGATGACATAGGCAAAGTCAGGACCATTAGTAAAAGTTTAAACACTCTTTGACAGGTCATCGCTTCATTTACTATAGAAAAAACGTATAAGTTGATTGTAGTGCAAGGCGAGTACCGATATAGATGCATATTGTGAAGAAGGTACGTTATGCTACACGATACGCGTTAAACACAGGTGTAGTGAGCGCACCTGTAATGAACTTGTCATTGACACAAAGAAGACCTCCAATAAAAAATACTTCAATTGTGTTATTTTCGTATAACGTATCAGCTAACAAATTACTCCGTCTTTGTTATAATACAAAGATGCACAAAGATACTTTTTTTACCAGTTCGTGGATGTGACTTAAGCAGTGGATTGAACTTCAGGTCGCTCTTAATAACGAGACGGCGTTTTACGATTTTAGTCACTAGTCAAGAGTAATTCCATAAAAAAGATAGGAAGAAACAGGGTAATTGACTTCATCTCCCTGTGCCTTGTTCGAAACTTCGACGAATGAAATGTCTTATTCGAAAGAATGATCAATAATATTAGTTTACCTGATTACAAATATTTATTTGGTCAATTTAGCCTAGAACTCGGCAGGGTCATGCGGTTTTCTTTGGGTCATGCGGATCCGATCGCTCTCATTTGAAGTGATTTGAGTGACTAAATACAATGTTAATGCAATAAAAGAAAGTAAGAAAGAAAATAACATGGCAAACAGTTTGAAAAAAAAAATAGATATAGTAAAAAAGGAATGCACAGAAGTTAAGGTAACTGAAGAAGGAAATAGAATCATTTATTTACAATGGCAAAAGAGCAGGACAAAGATAGTTAACAAATATTAGGTTTGACTTTTGGAGAGAAAAGAGACGTTCTGTCTGTGACTGAACTTGCTTCATTATTTCTGCTGCTACTTTTAGACCTCACAAAAGTTTTTTTTTAGGGATTGTATTCCGCATGAAAAGTTTTCCAAACAGATACAAATTAAATCGTTATAATACCTAACTGACAACACGCCATTCGGTCAATTAAACCCTCTCGCTACCCATAGAAACCTTGACAGAAATTGCAATGATTACGACAAATCAATGTTATTTGTTGTCACGTTGCCTGGCAACATTGATACAAGAAACGACACCAATCCATTTTGCTCATGCTATCGATCGCAGAGAGCATCGTGATAAAATGTCGTACAATAGAAGATGCGCACTTGTCCAAGAGTGCGTGAGGATTGACAATGGCGACCTCTGTAAGGATAAGCCACTCAAGTTTGCTAGGCTCCAGTGAGCGAAATGATTTGAAGAGTTGCTGCTATTTTTTTCTATTCGAGATAAAAAATGGCAGATTGATTATTGGCGCCAAAGTTGCAATTACGACGACGGGGCATTATTTCTGCTTTCTGAACCCAGGGGCGGATCCAGGATTATTTGAAGGGGAGTCCGTTTTTTTAGGAATGACAAGTCACGGAAGTTATTTTAGAGGGCGAACGATGCCATTTGGTACAGTTAAGAACTATGATTCAACTAGTCAAAATTCTAATGTCAAGAGGGGAGTATTAGTGTGATTTTTTCAGAAATCGAAGCGGTAGACAGGACCCCCCTGACACACCCTAAATCCGCCACTGCTACATTTATTTCACATTTCAGTATGCACATGAATTTATAAGGGAGTTGAACTCCCAAAACGGAAATACCTTACTATTATTAATCCTAATATTTTGCCACTTTTACACACAGTCCACTTTAAAAAATATAGCATCAAGTAATAAAATATTTTCTCTTTCTTCGTCCAAAATCTTCCCATGAAATATAGCACAGATGCTGAGCTTGCTTATGCCCCGTTTTGGTGAGCTTTATTCTGTTATATATTCATATTTATTCATTCATTTATTTATTAATTTTTGCAAAATGCACGGTAGTGCTCTAGCCCATGCTCGAACTGCCGATTATTTAGCCCATAATTTTTCATGAAGAAGTGCATCAACAAAAAGCAAGGTATATCTATTCATGTATGTTTTAATTTCTTCACTGAAATAAAGGTAACATTTAGCTACACATCTGAATTAAGAAAATCGCTCATTCTCACCGCATTCAGATTAGGCTGCATCATGACGTCGGTGATTGCTTCTCTCCGTCTCAACTGTCACAATTCTGGCTGTGATTCCCTCTTCTCACCTGTAACAATTTTGAATGGCGAATCAGGAGTAGGAGCACAACAGGCTTAATAGTCCCACCACACCCTCGACAAACAGAGAAACGAGACAAAAAACGTGCTTTTTCAACCCTGTACAATACATGTTACAGTAAAATTCCCCTCTTTTACAGTTTTATACCCGTCGAGCGAAACTCGGCGAAATCCAAGCCTTGCCTCTCTCCGCCCCCCCCCCCCCCCCCCCGCCCCATAGCCTATTATCTGGTCCGCCAGTGCAGTTACATATGGGAACGAGATTTCCGCTCACATCGCGTCGCTATCGTCGCCGTAAAACGAAACGCTCTATTATGAATATGAAAGGAACCCTAGCTGGGTGTTGCATAATTCTCTGTATAACAATTGAAGCAAGCGCTAACCCTTCAGACTCGCCGTACAACCACGGCTGGGAACGAGTGTACCCATTGTTAAAAGGAAATTGTTACTGAAAACCGACCGAGTGGATGGTGACAGGAGGTTGTCCACGGTTGTCACCTGCAATGTTGGCTGTGCTGGTCACGCTGTTTGCGGTATGGGGACAGACGCTGGGTGCTGGAGGTGGGTTTTTTAAATCTTGTTTTCCCTCTGAAACCATCTCTCTGTCACCTAGCTGTTCAGGGTATTATATAACAAGTACATGTGTACCTGGATACGTCTTTTAAATGATTAAGACCATTAAAAAAAACCTAGGCGTTTAAAAGACGATCGAACTTGATATTTTTTAATGTTTATATATTTAGAAATATGTATGTATGTACAACTGACTGGCATGATTGAGAGTTTCAAATACTAGTAGTTTAAGAAGAAAGTTGAGCACAAGGAGTGCTATGATTGAAAGTTGTTTTTCCCCAAAGAACTTACTCTGAAGAATATGGTCTAGAATTAGCGGATGTTCGATTCGGTGATATTTTTAAAGTATAAATTACTTAAAATGTTTTTCGTCGGCAAAAGATGGGCACATATCGGCATCGACATCAATGCACACCATTTGTCGTTTTTGCGTTTTACGTGTCTCTAAGCTTACTGGAGTAACGCACTTTTTAAGTTCCATGTAATTCCTTAATAAGAAATACCGCAAAATCAATACACATAAAATTCAAGATTAAAATGCACTGTCATAAGTCATTGTTTTACTAAATTACATGCATTTTGCTGACATGTTATGTATATTTATATTTGCACGTACGACACAAGCAATTAAGAAACTTTATCGATCCTTTGGTTGCGTAAATTAATCTTACAGCCATGCGTGAAGAAGCGAGGCATGGGGCTTTTGTCAATCCGTTAGTTAATTACGACTGGGCAAGTCGTAGATTACGACTTTGATGAATCCTCACATTATACGCGCTCGATCTGTTTTATTTTATATAAATGTGTGTGTGCGCAAAGTTATTTGACATGTAGGCCCACGAGACCGGGTAATTTATATACTTACATATTCACATGTCACGTTAATTAATAAATAAATACTACATTCGATGTAAGAATTCCTCGTTCAATACCAGTCCCGCTATTCTTTGTAGCCAACAAAATGGTCTTTGGTTTTACTGCATCTATATTGTTAATACCCGGTATTGATTAAGTATCGATATTTTGGGAGAATCGGAGAAATGTTTCTCCGTACAACTGTGTGTAAGTTTGTAAAGCATTTATGTGCTGTTACGATTTTTTATATTTCGCAACTCAATTGAAATAACTAGGAAAATAGAAAGATGTTATCAAAGTTGACTTAAAATTAAGCTTTCATTAAAATTTTGGTACGTTTTTTTTCTCAACGCGAAGCATTGTTGGATTTATGGCGACAGTGGTGAATAGAAAAATTATTTTACCTGAACAGACGATTATTGCAACTACGGTTAAATTGAAGGCAATTCTTAAAAGAAAATGAAATATTTCTCTGCGTTGCTTTTGTGCCCCACGGCTCTTCATATGAAAACGATACAACTTTCAAGGACGTCAGGGGAATTGCAAAAAAAAAAAAAAAAAGGGAAAAAAACCCTCTTATACAGGGATGTAAAGTATACAATGCCCTAGACCGCATAATGACCTAAAATCCGCAGGTGTCACACTGCATTGCCGTACCCACCACAATGACATTGTGAAAAAAAAAATCGATCGCTTCAGCTTAACAACTTTCGTCGATAATCGCCGTTGAAAATAGCCCTCTTGAAATAGCTCCCATTTTTCGACCTCGTAAACAATAATTTTGTTTGAATACACCAACCGAAAATTAAGCCAAGCGTGCGATTCATATTTATACCTTTGGAATGGAGAGGTATCGTTTTGCATGGTTTATGACCATGTTGACCATAGTATACCATAGCTTAGAAACATAGCCGAGGTAGGCCTATATTGTTAACTAGACCCATGGATTGGTCATTTAAGGCCGCTTGGGAAGCCTTGTATGCCAACCTTGATTTCGATTCTGTTAGTATAAATAATTGACGTGTTGATGACATAATGGCATGTCCGCTAACCGAGCTGGTAAACACCTTCTCTTTGCCTTTGCGTCACCCGTGGAGTAAAAGCTAGAATTTAGTCTATGTATGAATAGTAAAGGTATTAATCAACAACGAGACAAAACAGACAGAAGGTGTGAACATGTAGATCTTGGACATAATAATTATTTTGTCCATGTGTAGATTGAAATGGGACGTGGAAGATGATGAGACATTCGAGATTAAAACACACACACACATACACACACACACACACACACACACACACAAGAGAATGATCAGGTTTTTAAATCATAAGTCGCTAGATAAAAATCCCCGAATATTTTAGCAAGATTGCTAAATAACTCAAAATTGCCATCAATGTTGATGATTGAATACCAGAAGTCCAATCGCTGATAAAAAAAAGAACTAGAAAAGCACTCCGAGAGCGCAGACCTCCGCCAAGGCAGCAAAGTCTCCACCCAATGCCGTTTCACCCCTAAACTTTCATTCTATAATGATTTAGTTTTTATTTTTGATTATTTGTTGATTATTTATTGATTATTGATCCGGATCACCACCAAAAACTTATTATCTGTTCCTTGGCCCACTTCCTGAAAATTTCATCAAAATCGGTCCTTGACTTTTTGAGTTATGTTGATGACAGACAGACGAACAAACAAACAGGGGTAAAAACATAACCTCTTTGTCGGGGGTAAAAAGAGGTATAGTCTACCAAAAGCGCTCTCGTATATTATATGTAAACCTGTGACGCAGGGTTTAAAAAAATTTTGAATTTTTTTACGTAATTGAGATGCAATGAATCACGTTGGAACTCCAACAATTCCACTTAGGGGTAAACATTTGGAACAACAGAGATAAATGTTCCTTTGCATTACTGTATTATATTTGGATTTTAAAAAAAATCCGGATTAGTAATGCTTCAGAATCAGAATAGCGAAATGACATCGAAACTTAACCCTGGACGCAGGTACATGCTTTTAATGTGTCAAAGTGCGCAAGCCCGAAAATATTTCAGATTAAGTGTGCCGCTCCGCAAACAGGGCCTCCGGTGTTCCTCTAAGAAGGAGAAAATTGCCTTTCATTGTCCTGTTTATTCAATTTCTTCACAATAGCAGATTATTTTTCAATTTTAGGAGTCAAATATCGATTAATTGTCTGCAATACATTGGAAAATTAAATTGAACACTTACCAAAGAATAAAAAAGCTCAACTTTTAAAATTGTGTGCAGTGACCGACTTAGGAGATTTCCGTGTCTTTAGAAGTGTCTTTAAAAGTAACCAAAATTAAATGACCGAATTTCGTCAAAGATGCATTTCTGTCCCGGAGTGTAATATAACTGACGTCTTGTCTTTCCTGGTGGTAAACCAACGCCAATTAAAATATAATTCAACTACTAGTGTGCGTAAATATTTTTTCAACTCTACATCTACATGTATATATAGGAAACAGTTTCCCATTTTAAAAGTATTTTCACTTTCAAAGATCAATGAAATGGTGAAAGTGAAAGTACATGTAGATTGAAATGGTGTGTTGGCGACAATGAAACGTCCGATATTTCCAATGAAAATACACAACAAAATAAACACTAATTCTTCTTTTTCCAACATGAGATAACATAAATACAACTTGGAATTAGAAAATAAATAAAAATAACCTTTCACTTTTTTCTGTCTACTTTTGCACACTTTTTTTTTTTTTTTTTTTGTAAAATTACAGGTTTTAAAAAGTGACTTACGGAATGAAAAATGATTTGAAAGGATCAAAAAGACCAAAAGAATTGTTCCTGCAACTGCATATAATGTTTTTTTTTTAAATAATTTCAATTAAGAAGCAGCCAAGCGAGTGTTACTATTTCCGAAAATATGTTTTTGTTGCTGTTAATACTCTCACGGGTAATTGTCAAAGATAATTTCAGTTTATAACAAGATAAGAAAATCCTGACCCAGTGACCCTGAAAAAAGTCCCCGTTAGCCTTTGATCCTTTACAATCAATAAGCTGATTAAAGATACCCGAATTTGGTGATCACGTTTGTGAAATATTTACGATGAAGACTCAGGGCGAAATCAATCGCGCTCCGATGATTGATAGTGTAGTTTGCGGAGTAATATAAAAACATGACAGCGTCTGACGCGTTCTGTCATTTATTGTCATACGGGAAATGTCAGTGTAGCCTACCTTTGCCAATTTAGTATCCTATTAAGACTGTCAGCAGTTGCATTTTAACCGTGTCTATTAGAAGGTTAATTTGACCGCTGGCGTTGCAGGTGTGTGTGTGTGTGTGTGTGTGTGTGTGTGTGGGGGGGGGGGGGGGGGTTAACCGCTACAAATAATAACAATAATAATAATAATAAAATAAATGAAATAAAAAAAGAAGAATTAACAACAGGGCACTTCTATAAGCTGGCCGCTGCCAGGGTTGACGTGTATGAGAACAGTGCCGCATTGTAAATCAACCTGGGCTCGTGGTATTACGTGCATGTGAATGGTCACGCAAAGTGCTTATGTACGTAAATAAACCACACTGTATCGCGAAGTGTCCAAGTATTGAGATTACGTGAATTATGTATGCAAGGCTGAAAAGGAAAGGTACGACGAATCTATATAAACGGCGAATAAACAGTGGCCCTCACGGTCAGCAAATCACAATAAGTTCAATCAGCCGGTTGTATTGACAGGACGGAGCTCGGCATTTTCTATTGATTTAAACCGTTAACTAACAGATAGTTGATGTGCACGCGCTCTATTTGACATGTTAAGTATATTTACTTGTGGTCCGGTCGTAACGACATCGGTATCAAAAGTTTTTCTTTGTCGAGAGCTAGTTTAGAGTGTATTACGTTTGTGTGTAATAATGTAATTCTATAAGACTGAAGCCCTTCGACTCCTGCAATATACATTATGCGACTTCTCAATAATTAAGTAACTTCGTGTAATTCAAGTCGAGAAAATTGACTACGGTCGAGAGAACTATAATATTTATAAATTTCAATAAAGACGTCATAAAAAGCACGGCCATTGTTGACGGAGTCCCTTTTTCCTTTTAACTCCTATTTACTTGCCCGTGTTGACGTCCAGTTGCCATGGCAACCGTAATTGTGATTGTTGGTCAAAGGACGGTTCTTTCTTTCTTGTTTTGACTTGACATAAAGCACTCTGAACAAGACCTTTTCATTACGAGTTTGATAACAAAGATGGATTTGACACCGGTCACAGATGAAGACAGACCTCACCTGGCCCCGGGCCTGGGATCCCAGTGATTGCTCATACATGAAGTTCTCAAGTACCCAGGTCTTTTTAAGAAAACCCTGTTCAGCCAAATGCGATGTTGATTACGCTCATATTTCAAGCACAATTCAAGCGGAAAGAAGTTACGACAGTATCTTTTTGCCTGCGATAATAGCTATAGCAAGCACTCGAAAACCAATAAATTGGAGAAGGAGCCACCTCGTGGTGAAAGTGCGTTAAGTTTGATAAGCAAGAAGAGGTGGTTGTTCTAAACCAAGTTTACAATATTTTGGATGTTGGAATATATCCTTTTTTTTCAATATCTAACTTGTTTATCAACAGTTAACGCGGTTGAAACAAAAATTCTTTGTATTTATTTATTTTTCGTCCCTTCTTCTTTTCTCTGTTTGTTTCTTTTTTCCTTTTTTTCTGAAAAAGATTGACCTTTAACTTTCAATGCTGAGCATTTTAAAAGTTACTTACTGAAGGAAAAAACAGCAATTAAATAAATTAAAAGGAAAAAGAACTGTTTTGGCAGCTGTCAATGTCGTCTTAATTTCCAGTATAAAGAACACTTAAAGGGATAATAACTCTTTGTTTTGGCCAAAAAATGAATTTTCCTGGAGTAAACAGCAATTTTCCCATACTTACCAATGGTTAATGAATCCATTTTTACATTCAAAGATGGTCCCTGGTTTTTTCTAAAAAGTTTGGTTTTTTGTTAAAATCTCTTAAGAGATTATAACAGGGTATAGCTATCAATGGAGGTCACGTGATCTGAAGACAAGCTCATATCAGAATAATAGCTATAACTGCCGTTTTTGTGGTAAAACAAAATACATTATATTTCTATGAGTTATTCACAATTTTTTTATTGTGAAATACAGATCTCATACGAAGAGTTATTATCCCTTTAACGTGTTCTGATATTATCCAAAACCCAAATTAATTTGAAGCTGTTGTTCATCTATCCATTTAAAGAAACACATTAAAATTCAAGGAGCGAGAGATGATACTGTATTTAATAATCACTGCAAGATACTTTACTTCCCTAAAAATATTTAAAGACCGTTTTTCTATCATTTGTCGAAATTTCTCCCTTCTGAGTGACTTGAAAAAGCAAGTCAACCACAAGGTCTCATTTGCTCTTTATTCTTCTTTAATCTGGTAACTTCATAAACAGCCCAATTATTTATCCCACCTCACATTCCTTGGTCACGCAATTAAAAAAAAACTGCTTTAAATTACATAGCTCATGACTTAAACTGAACATTAGGCATGAAAGCAGCAAGGATTTTTGAGAGGAATCAAGTGTGTGATATATATATTTGTTATATATATGAACTGATAATAATCGGCCGTGACGTACTACTCATTTTTCACCAGAAAAAATGTTTTATTCTTTACAAGTTCAAATTGAACTTTATTACACTCATGCACAAAAACAGGACAGAGATAATTTATTCTTTGCCAGTTACCATAATTTTTGAACCCAGCCCTAAATTACCATTAAGTTCCCACGGACTTTGATAATAGAAAAGCGTCAAATAATTTTTATCAAAGATGTTTATATATGAGACAATAGCTCGTTTTTTCCTGATTTTTTACGTCAGACCAAAACACTTAATCGATCGGGGGTCCGGGGCAGCTACAGAAATAAATTTTAATTTTTTATTCATTGATTCTGAGACAAAAGCTCATACAGTCTGATATAGATTGACATTTAGCAAAACAAAAGCAAAAAATCGGTAAGTATCATTTAGTCTTCAAAATCTATATTGAGATTACAAATATAGAATCAACGCAAATGTTTACCAACAATCTGAGGGAAGATGGTGTAAAATAAACCAATTAGTAAATAGGGTTAATAACGCGAGTTAAACATTATAAATAAAGATGGACAGAGTTACATAACGCACTTTCTAGAAAATGTCAATTAGTTTTCTTGTACCGCAATAATGCAACCTAAAGCAAACTTGAAAAACGTCGTGAATGTATTGATTAGCATTTGTATTAACATTGTGAAAGAAGATGCACATAGCTGCATAATGCACTTTTTATGAATATTATATCAATTAGTTTTCTTGTATCGAAGCAACTCTTCCTGAAGCAAACCTTGAGAAACGTCGTAAATCGAATGTACTGGCATTTGTTATACCCTCTACCAGAGCGACAGATTGATTTTCCACAGATATTCACAGATAGGTCTCTAGATAAATAGACAGTCATTTTGGTCTGACGTCGATTAAGCAAAAAATTGTCCACAATAATAAATGAGACCCTGGTAGAGGGTACATTTGTTATAGGCCTATTTGGCCTTCGGCGGTTTGCCCAGTAGACACAACTGTTGCATGTATATAAATACAGTGGAAGAGAAGTAAGTTTAATTAAGTTTAAAGAACACAAAGCCCTGGTCTTAGCTCCCGGGTACCGCAACAATATGCGTCATTTTTAAAGTGGTGCGACAAGTGCAAAACATGCATTTTCCATCAATTCTTTAACCAACGATAGGTCCAAGATCAATATTTTACTTTGTTTATTCTTTTTGTTATGGGGAGACTTTTGTTAATTAAGGTGTTCAACTGGACTTAGTGATAAGCAAACGTGCAAGTGTTTCCAATTTAATAGTCTGTCAGCGTTTTATAAATGTTTGAATATTTTGAATATATTTTAAAAATTACACCTTCAACATTTAAACGTCATTTATTTGGGCCTACTTGGCTGCCCGCTTTATTGCTCAAAAGTCATCGTAAGCGTTCCAGCAACAATACTATGTCTCATCAAGCGTGTCGTGCTTCAGGGTCCCCAATTCAGACACGTTTTTAAACTTTTAACCCATATGTCATGTAAAACAGACGTAAGATCGTAGAGTTAACTGCAAAGGTTAAGCCGAGTGGACAGAGAACCCGTTTACTCACTGCTCATTTCACTGCGTCCCTTGGGCTTGCGTCACCGCTATAGCAATCGAGCAGTCAAGCGTCGAAGCTAGAATATTCGGCATGAAAACACTACGCTGGAATTAACCCTTTCATCCGCTCTCTTTGTCCAGGTGTTTCATAACGGTGACCGTGTTTATATTAGACGCCGTGTCCGAAAAGCAACAAAAGGGGCGAGGATTGCGTGATGACCGCGTATAAAGCGTGCACGTCACCGAGTTATCCTTTCGTTAAATCATATTAATTCCACGGGAAAAGATGTCCTGTCAAAAAATAGGTATCAAAACATGTCCAAAAAGGAGGCTCGCTGCCGGCCACTCTTGTGATCTAACAGCTGCCACAACAGTAGAATAATATGATTTTGATTTTGGCAAGATAAACATGTCTCACTAAAAATATGCATTTCTTTATTTTCTGACATCGGTATTTAAAAAAGCCACAAACAAAGTTTGCCGCTGTTCCCTCTTTTATCATTTTCCGAGTACATAGTGATACGACCCAAGACAACATAGGATAAACTTATAGGTTAATTGTAAGGCCTGCACACATATGGAAATTAGAATTATTGTTTGAATATGAAAAAAATACTTCTACTGTATTTCGATAGCCCTAATATAGGCCTAGGGCCTACTGTGCGTATGCAGTTTTGCTAAAGTTGAAATAAAACAGAAAATTAACTGATAGGCGCTAGATAAACATGATTTTTTTTCGTAAGTAATAATAGGTCATAGTCATTTTGACCAAATGTAAAATATTTACAGCAGAACAGAGAAATCGTTCATTGCGTGCTTTTTGTAATCTGATCACGTGTTTTATCACGTTTCAGAACCGGAAGTGCATTGGATCGAACCTCACTATGGATCTGAAAATGGAGGAACTAAGGTCACTATTCACGGAGCAAGTAAGTTTTTTCAAACCATTTTAGATGCATTTAATCCGTATTTTCAATCATAATGCGTCAAAAAGTATTTAAGTGGACATGAAAACATACTCTTTAAAATATGCAGTGTAACTTTGAGCAGTTCCGTTTTTAAAGAGACGATCCTTCTAAGTTCCAAGCTGAACTCGGAAGTAGGTCTACTGGTAGTAATAATAGCAATAAGGCGCTTGTAGTAGCAGGGTTAGTAGTGGTGTTGGTTGTACTTTATTAACTTTATTATAAAATCATTATTTTTTTTTCAGATTTCGCTGCTGGCGATCCGTTCAATTACACCAACAGTGTGGAGTTTGTGTCGGAGACGAACTCGTACCCGTGTGAAATTGATCAAGCCGCCAGCGACACTGGAGAACTCATGTGTTATACCACGTACGTAGTCAACACTGACAGCTTGACACATACATGTTATTTCTAAATTTACCAAAGTATATGTTTTCTCAAGATGTTAATTTTCATTTTACTGAAGAATATTTTTCTCAGGGATTCGTCCGTCATTTTTTTTCTGACGTTCCGTTTTAAAGTTATTAATTGGTTCCTGGGTTTACATAAAATAAAACAGACAAAATCGGTTTCTCAGTCATGACAGCTGTGTCTCTGTTTAGACCTGTGTGTCTATTTCGGTTCTTTTGATTTTAGACAATTGAATGAGTGTTGAGTTGCACTGCTTTGTTTGCATATTATTCCAGAGTCACAGATTCAGTATACATGCATGTAAGTTCTTCGCAGCCTACAGATTGTGGGCCTTTTGTTGAGCTATTCTGACCTATTAAAACTCTCGCTACAATTTTCTTGATCTAAAAATCTCCAGATTATTGTGTTTTGCTATGTTGTTATTTTGATTAATGCTAATTATTTCGTAATTCCGTTTTCAGGAAAATGCCCGAGGGTAGTGTGTTTGTCCGTGTGACAATAGATGGCGTCCCAGTGCCTCTGTCCAGCCACTGTTACAACAGACCCACTGGCTCTAACTGCAGACTCATGGTGAGTACACAAATTAATTGTAGTCCAGAACTGGTCAAGGCTTTAAGACCAACTTTTTAGTCTACTTCAACACAAGATAAATCAGTAGTCTAGTTGCATGAAATATTGTGCCTGCTTAATTACAAGAAAGACATGGTTACTTAGGCCCGTAGCCAGCAATTTCTAAAGGGGGTTTCTTTTTCTAAAAAAAAGTGGACCTTTTCCCATAAAAACTTCATGTACCTAGATCAAATTTTACCCAGAGTGGACCTTTTCCCAGCAAAAGGGGCAGTTCTTTTGCCCCCCCCGAACCCCTCCTGGCTATGGGCCTGTTACTAGTAATGTTTCAGTTCTTTACTTATCTTATTGAAGTAAAATAGCAAGTATCTGAACTGAGGTCTTTATCTTTATAATGATACAGAAAAAAATCAAGGTCAAAGGTCAAACTTACAGTATTAAGTTCTATTTCATTTCTGATGAAATGGAGTTGACTCAGTTAAAAAAAAAAATTGGTTCTATTACATGGAGCATGGAAATCTTAACAAAGTTTGCCAAGAATCAAAAAGCAGGAATGGTATTCATTGTACGAGTTCTCAGAACAGTTTGAAATCTTGGATCTTTTAAAAGATGGACAGACAGAAAATTGCCCAAGTTGATCAAGTACATACCTGCTGGAGTTCTAAGAATGCGTTATCTGACACGAGGTGCCCATTACACATATATTTGTTTTCTCCTTCACTCATTTGTCTGTGTATTTACAGGTGAGATGGTGGACCACCCCTACCATAGAAACTCTGACTCCGTATACAGGAACACCAGGTAAGAGATATCAGCATACTTAGAAAAGATATACTTAGAGTGTGGTAGAAAATGGAAATGCTTACAATGATAATAATGATAATGAGGATGGTAATAATTTATAATAGTAATAATCAGATCTTTATAGCCTCAACCCACAATGTCTTCAGTATTGTGGCCATACAAAGATTTAACTTAAAAATCTATATGATGCTCTCTGCCTATATTTGTGAAAATGATTTTATAAAACCTTTTCATTCAGGCATTTAAGTGAATAGAACTAACAATTTTTTTTGAAAATAAAGAGTGTTAGTATGATTCACTAAATTCTTCCACTCAGGAATTTATGTGAGGTGAGTAGAACTAATTCCAATATTCTGACCTCTCTAAGGTACCCGTATCACTGTGAGTGGCTATCTCTTCACTTCCCTGTACAGCACCAATGAGGAAGTCAGCACAAATGGGAAAACAGTCAATATTAGACGGTAAGTTGGACTGGCTGTTGCTCATTTTCTTTTTGATGTACAATTAATGATAGAACTGTGCCCATCCACACACACACACACATGCACACACACACACACACACACACACACACACACACACACACACACACACACACACACACACACACACACACTATTTGCATGATCACGTTGAACACATATATGATAGATTTTGAATAACCATGTATGATTCTAGTTAGTTTATGAAGCTTGAGTTTAGATCTTTGTCCAAGTTGTTTTATTTATATAAAATTTCAAATTAAAAAAAAAAACTTGTTTAAATAAGCTTTATGTGAGGGTTTTAGATTTTAAAGTACTTGCAAATATTTGAAGATTGCAAATTTTAGAGTGTAAAACTTCTTAATATGTCAGATACATGCATAATCTTGATAGGATTAGAGGTATACACATTTTAAGGAAATAAAATAATTTTTGTATTTTGTTTTTAGCGTGTATGTCGGAGGCCAGAACTGCAACCTGTTGAATTCTACAGGAGAAGTGTAAGTATCAGAAACTATTGAAGAGTGATCAATTAAGGTGATGACAATATCAACATTTTACTTTTTTGAAGATAAATTTGTTATAAAACCAACACATCCATTTTAAATGTTTTGCAGTTTGGTTCAAGAGTGGCTTAAGACATAAAGCTACAACCAGTGTCAGCTACTTTGAAACTCTGTCCATTGAATACTGTTTGTTTTTGTTTTATTTGACCACCCAACTTCCTAATTTTGCTGTCTACAATTGACCATTGGCTATCACACTGTAATATATGAAGACCATTTATACAAAAAGTTAAAGGTGTTAAACTTAAAATATTTCAAGTTATTTATTTTTTGTACAAAAACTTACACTAGAGCAATTAAACTTATGATACAAACAACATTATTTTTCTGTACATTGTTATTGGCAATTTTTATCTAATTGTTTTTTATTAACACAAAATGATAACATGAAGTGAAAATGAATTTGACAAAATTTAGTAAATATTTTATTATTCCAGCATCTATATCCAGTTGAACAATGATGGCACGTCCAATAGAGGAACATTTAAGTGTGATATGATGGGGGGTTTTGTGGGCCACATTAACGCTAGTTTTATCATCAGTGGTCTATATGGAAGGTAAATATATATTGCATTCTGTTATTATGTAAATTAGCCATGTGGAAGGTATATATATATATATATATTTATACAACGTTATTATTTAGATAGGTAAATGGAAGGTTTTTAGTACATTATGTTATTATATAGACCAGGCATTTGGTATCTTAATCTGTACACTATACATAGTTTTCCTTCTAAGTATAATAGACATGTATAATTAACAGTTTATATAACCTCATAATCTGTGAGTTTTTGACTTAAATTTATTTTCAGATCCAAGCCAGATTTGTCCAGTTTACGTGTGTCATCTACCAATGAACTCTACATGATTCAGACATATGCAGGTGAGTTTGAACAATATCAGGAACATGAGCAATTATGTTTATTTTTATTCCGGTAATTTGTTTCAAAAGAAGGGCCCGTGCAGGTGCTATGGTGTTGCGAGGGTTTAACATGAAAGTTTCTTTATAATTCATGAAAAAGTCTCAGCAATTTGGTAAAAAAAGTTACGGTTTATTTACAATAGTAGTGGTAGGTAGAAAATGCATTTAGTTTAGAAGTAGTTATTTTTTTAGCATCATAACATAAGAGACAACAAAAACTGTTTATCGAATTGTGAATTTATATTATTTTCCAGAGATCACCTCTATCACGCCATCTAGTGGCAGTATTGCAGGAGGTACCCACATCACAATAATGGGAAGAAATCTTGAGCAGAATGGATCACCTGTAGTACAAGTGGGAGGTATGGCTTTGGTTTTCCATAAAAAATCAATTTGACACAAAAACTTACAGTGTGTTTGGAATGAGATGCAAAAAAATTGTTTCCTTTGAAATGTTCAAAATTTAAATAATATATCTGGCAATTCAAACGTTATACATGTATTACAGTCATGTTACTTATACAATTTTGCAGGTATGTTTATACTTTGAACATTAGACAATCCTCATATCAGTGTCACCCCGACTGCATCTAGTATATTATGTTGGTGTCATACATATATTTACAAAATTAACATAATCGAGAATGATATTGGTAAATTCAAATTTAGATTCTCTCTTACAGTCTTGTTACATTGGCAAGTTTGACATTTTAGACATCACCCCAAGTTCATAAATCTTGCAGTGACTGCTTTTCTAGCTCCAATATCTCTCTTATGATGTTGCATGTGGTACATATATTTCCAGGTGGTCCCTGTATTGTCACTCAGGTGGCATCTGACAAAATCATTTGCCGAACACCAGTGCAGCAACCAGGCAAAAATAACTACTCAGGTACCTAGAGGGATGCTGAGGATCTTATAATGAGATTAAAGGCTCTTAAACAGACATAATTTAAAAAAAATGTACTCAGTTTTAAATGGCATATTTTTAAACCTTAATTAGCCCAGACCTTTGGGTTGATTAGACTTCCAAGTGAGGTCAGAATGTAGATATATGTTGTTATATAATGGCTTTAGTATAAAATAATTAAATTTCTTTGAACTAAATCACAACTAAATGCTGAGTTTATATTCTCAGGTAATCGTGGCCTGCTGTATGAAGACTGGGACAAATATGTGTCTAACAGCGCTGTGGGGGACGTCCTTGGCTTCACAGAGGCTACTGACGGCTATCAGCCAAATAACACGCGTATTGTAGACAACCTGTACTTCTGGACCTCGACCTCTCGCTCCAACTTCGTCTCCCGTTTTCAGGGATATTTTGTCCCTCCCCGCACAGCCGAGTACATGTTCATGATTTGGGCAGATGATTCCATTGAGCTTTATTTCAGTGATTCTGATGACCCAAGTCAAAAGGTGAGATGGCACTTATAAACAATAACTTAATGTTGGAACTTATAAATTTCTTTCACAACCAATTTATGTGCTTTCTTGAGGGAGACTTAATTTTGTCCACTGACTTCTTATCAGTTTAAAATGAGACCCTTAACTGTCTTGCTATTGCAGTTTTTAGGATAAATGTCTTGACTAATGTACTTTTTCCTCAAATTATGTAATTTATTGTCAGATCTTTACTAACAAATCTTTACTTACTAGAACAAGGTGTTGCACCTTCCTTTGTGGTTCATTTTATTGATATGAAAATTCATGTTATTGCAGAGAAAGATAGCACATCTGCACTCTTACAAGAATAACTACTGGCATTACGACTCTCAGCGATCTGAACGTATGCTGCTCACTGCTGGCAACAGGTATCCAATAAAACTTTCTTGTATTGATCAGCACAATGTAAAAATGACAAACATATATTTATTTATTTAATTTTCTATTGAATTATTTTTATAACTTTTAGTAGAATTTTCAAGTGGAATGAAAAACCCATCAGCAAACAAAGTCACCATTTTTTCCCCGACATTTTGGCTTACTTTTCCAAACAAAAACCCAAGCCTTTGATTCTCTATTTTCTGTGCTTGTTCCAGCTATTATATTGAAGTTGTTCACAAGGAAGGAGGAGGTGGTGAGGCCGTCAGTGTGGCTGCAAGGATGTTTGAGAGTGAGTACACCTCACAGCAGACGGACTATGCTGGGGAAGAGAAACAGGATATAGTGCTGACATCTACAGTTCTGCCAGAGACACAGGTAATACTTTGTCTTCACCTCATGTGTTGTTGTCAAGTGTACTGACTTAGACTTCAGACACAGAAAATTGTTATCTCCATTGTTTTGTGATCAACAGTGTTGACTTAGACACAGGCACTTGAAACCTTTCGTTTATTTTGTGTTGTTATCAAGAGAATTGACTTTCCTATAATTGTTTTATATCTAAAGAATTGAGAGATGATATCTGAGCAATGACTCAAACACTTTGTATTGCATGAATTGAGCAGGGATGAGATTTTTTTACATAAAAGGCCCATCTCTGTTTAAGAATACATGTAGAAAATGACAGAATAAGGCCTAGTTCAGTTATCCCAATGTTTATAAATACTGCATATTACATATCAAGATTTTTACTACTGGCAGTTTGAACAGATTTTGAATTGGTGCAGATTGGCATGTTTATTTAATCTGCGCATTATGATTTATGACATTTTCTTCCCCTTCCATTATAGAATGTGAAGCTGTCTTCCTGGAGCACCCAGTCCAGAGTGAAGGAGGTCCAGCAGGTGGTCCTCAGCTCTATGGGCGGGGCTGGGCAGTACAGGCTGGGATTCATGGGAGCCTTCACCAGTATGTGATCGGTTGATTTGATTGATTGAAGGGTTGATTGACAGCTAGTCAAATTAATTGATTGGATAATTGATTGATTGATTTGTTGATTGATGGTTGGTTGATTTGTTGCTTGACTGACTGATTGTGATGTTTGCTTTAAGTTAAGGTGGTATATTATGTCAGTTCTTGTCATAGTTTAAATCCATACCATTTATAATAAGTAACATTCACTAAATTTTATCAAATTCATTTTCACTTCATATTTTGCTTTTCTGTGTCAGTACAAATGAATTTGATAAAATTGCCACTAATAGCGTTTTACATTAAAAGAACCCTGTTGTTTGTAACATAGGTTTGATTGATGCCTCGGCGGGGTCATCCACCATTCAGAATGAGCTGAACAAGCTTCCTACCATCAAGCCAGATACTGTATCTGTGTCTGGCTCTGGAACGGTCTCCGTAACATTTAACACCGACAAAGGTAGGTAACAGATCCAGTGCAACTCAGCGTATTTGAGATGTACAGTTTATGGTGAACGTCAAGAGCCAGAAGACCCAGATGTGGTGTAACTTGCATTCATGCATAAAGTGTGTTTACAGGAGATACTCCATGTTTGAATCTTCTGTTTTTCTCCTTTAAGTTAAAATTTGCTTTAGGGCCAAAATATATATGCATTTGAAATTGGCTTGATCATTTCTATTTATAAAAGTATTTAGTTGTGCTTATTTACTATTTTTGAGCAGCTATGATTGTACAATATATGCTTCTATGGAGTTTAAAAAAATTAAGAAATACACATCTTTGAATTTTTTTTGTCAGTCCCAATGTCTTTGAAATAAATCTTCAAAGTAACATTGTGTTTTTAGGTGATGTGGATCTCCTAGAATACAGAGACAATGCTGGCGTGAACATCACTATTACGGAGCAGACCAAAGGTGTGCCTTCTCTAAGTAATATCTACCTAACCATGGATGGTGCCATGTCTACTGCGGTTGGCAGCTCTGCCACCAGTGATGAGGTGAGAGGCTGGACAAGTGCTTTATGAAGCTCACTACCACACCATTAGTATTAAATAGATGTAGCTTTTTTTAGTGCAGGCTTGTAGCCAGGGGAATAGGTATGAACTGCACATTTGGCAGAAAAAGTTTGCTCTTCTTCAAAATTTGATGTAAATTCTATGAACACATGAACTCTGTTATAAAAAGAGCCCCAGCTTTTATATTGTAATTAAGGGGAAACCATTCTCAATGCCAATATATGCATTGTGTATTTTGCATTAAAATGATGGTTTGTATCAAATGTCCAGGTTGCACAGGCTGTTAAGGATCTGTTCAGCGTCCAGTGTCCCTCAGAGCTCACCAGCCCCAGCGGCGTGGGCTACGAACAGGAGTTTGAAGACCCCAGCGACAGCTCCATAACCGGCACCACCACGCTGGATGTGGAACCGTTCTGTGGGCGCAGGTCTCTGAAGAATCCACAGTGGCTCCATGATGGGAGAGCATCTCCACTCAATCTACAGCAGTATAAATATGTGAGTCTGGTTAGAAATAAAGTTCATATTTTTTCGTCAATGTAATTTAAGTTGAAGTTATTCTATCTTTGATTTTTACACCAAATTGAATTTTTCTTTTTTGGGGAAAAAAGCAATTTTCTCCCACTAATGAATCATTGCTTGGTTCATTCTGCACTTATATCCAAAGTTTTATACCTTTTCTAATTAATTCTTGCCTAAACATGTGTCAGTTACCCTAATATGAGGATGATGGACATCAAGAAATGTCTTTGAAGGTTAGAAATAAACATGATTTGTTGTATTGTAATATTGATTTCCGTGTTTTATAGGTGAATAAAAATAGGTGAATAAAAAACAGCAACACATTTTAAAACTTTCAGTTATTGACATATTTACATAATCTCTCCTCCAGGTATGTTTTGCTCGCCGTGGCGCAGTGTCCAGGCTTCAGGTGAAATACGAGTATTTCTTGGATGCTAACACTGTGAGCAGATGGCTTACCTTCAACCTGGTGGATGCACCAAGGTGAGTGCGCCGTGTGTGTGTGTGTGTGTGTGTATGTGTGTGTGAGTGTGTGTGTGTGAACACGTGCACACGCACGCGTGTGTGTGCATGTGTGCCACCGCATGTTAATCATGTGTAGTCTGCCTGCTGGGTTATATTTAGAATGATTACAAACCTAAGTCACATTCCTGCTTCATCCTGTTGCAATTTCAGGTTACTAGTGTCTTGTGCCTGCCTATACCCTAATAATCTTTATAATTATTTGTTGATTGGTCTATTGACTGATGGACTGATCCATTTATTGATTTATTTTATTTGTTGATGATGAGACATCAAGTATGAACAGCCACGTCACTTTTTTCATCATTTTGGTTTCAGCTGGAACTACACTTGCTTTGATGCCTACACCCCCGCCAAGGCTCACTCCCCCTCTGAGGGCTGGGGGCACAAAATGGTGGAGGTCAAAGTTCAGGGGTCAGGGCTCTACTACGCTGACAGCGTCCTCATAGCCTCCAGTCTCCCCTCTACTGATCTACCAAGTAAGCTGGACGCTGGGAAGCCTTTAAAATATGAAATAGTGTCTAGGAATTTTGCACACGTACAAATATGTTTATATTTTAATTACTTTTCCATGTTAATTTGTTTTTTTAGTTTTTTAAGTTATGTTATTTAGTGGTTTTGCAAAGTGCCCACCCTGTTGTGCAGGCACTCACATACAGTTGAAATATAATATATATGCTGTATTATACAATATAAATCAAGCTGTAAATAAACTATTTGCTTTCTGTGCAATGTGTAATCTGTTTTAACAGAGTACCTAGCAACACACACTGTCCAGTGCTTGGATTTAAATATTTCTGTTGTGTTTCTAGGTCTGACAATGAAGCGCAGTCGTCCACCATTTGTGAATCGTTTGATGGTCCTAGATGTCACTGTAACTGGGAGCTCTGGAGACTATAACATCACCATTGTCCCCTCCAACTGCCAGAGTGACTTCCCTCTCTTTGGTGTCTCTGGAGCTGTGGTAGGCTGTCTTCTTGTTGTATTTCAATCTTTTGTGGAAAATGCAGGTTTCAGACATATGTCAAGTTCACTGATATGTTGTAGTGTTTATTTTGAGTTCTGAGTGTAAAAATGTTGTATTCAGTACAATACCTAATCAGCCAAAGTAATTGCATATTTATTGAAGCATCATCTACACATTAATCTTCACGTAATTTGATTTTAAGATTAGATTGTAGCATTAGTTTTGTACTTCTATATATTTTACACTTTATACTTTACATTTTATGTAAGTATGGATATTTGGGTCGTGTATTTATGCCCCCTCCTCTCCCTCTCATGGCAAGCTGCACATGCATTTTAAAAATTTTTTTATAAGGCCCACTTTCATCTCTATAAAATGCATTTCTACAGAAATAAATGATTGAAAATATTACGATCAGAAGGGTTCGGTCATGCAGTGATTTCAGTTCAGTGCCAATACTTTACTCTGCATGTTTCAGAACACGTCTGGAGACCCTGCCAGTAACGATGTCACCCTGAGGGGCAGCAGCTGGCCATCTGGTGTTCAAGTTGAAGTGACCAGGGTCCAGGCGGCCTCACCTCCCATTTTGGGGACATTTGACCTCCAGTACCAGAATGAGCAACTTACAGGTGGGTGAAAAAGGAAAGAAGTCTGTATGATATAGGCTGTTGCATTTATTATACCATATCTTTGTGTGTAGGAGTTCATAAGAAATTCACTTTTGAATTATTTCATTATTTCATTAAACTGAACCTGAATGTATCAAAATATAGGTTTTACACTGTGTTAGTGCAAATATTGTTTAACACAAACCCAAAATCCTTTGAACTGATGCGTATATACTCCTGTGATTTCTGTGATCATAGAGTTGTAGTTTAACACAAATACTTTGATGTAGTACTGTAGGTATTCCTCTGAACATAGAAGAATAGTATAACCCATATTCTAAATACTTTGATCTAATATTGCAGGTATACCTGTGAACATTGAAGCCTCGGACCTGAAGGACCTGTTACAGACAGTGTCCGGTATGGGTAAAGTGGACGTGGCCAGAACTGGACAGTGCTCAGACTACAGGTGGACTGTCCACTGGCTGACAGCTGGCAATAAGCCAATGATGCAGGTACTCATCAATGTCCTTCTCTTCTTCCTCCTCAGCATCTCTTGATAAATTGATTTATCAATTAATGACAAACGGGAAGTCTTTCTAAAGAGACAAAACTTTTTTTTTACCAGTGAAGTAGTTTAAATTGACACTTCATTGGAATATTTCAAGTGACTGATTGAGGATATGAAGGACAAAGGACGTTGATCACATGACTATCATCTGACATGTCATATGGCTCTTTGATGAAGGGTCAAAATGGCATGCCTCTTGTTGGTAAAAAAAAAAGCTCGGTCTTCTTAAAAAATGGCTGAAATGCCATGCCTGTTGTTGGTAAAAAAAATCTTGTATAGTCTCTTTAAAATGATAAATTTTAAACCATTATCATACAAGAGACAATATGAAACCTAATGATTTCCCGGTATCTTCAGATTGATGCCAGTCAGGCCACAGGGCTGGGTCTTAACATCACCGCAGTGCCCAAACAGGATGCCTACACAGACTTTGATCCCATCATTGGAGACATGCTCAGAACCATTGAGAACAATGTCCAGGTAGGTTTAAGTAGGAAGGGAAAAGTTTAAGAAATGTTTTAGGTGATGTGTTAGGATTTTCTTCAATTCTTTGAGACATCTTAGGAGGTTAATTTGATTGATGAGTACTTATTTTGAAGCAAATAATAATAATAATAGTAATATGTGTTATGTGATTCTATCCCCTAGGTGACTGTATCAGTGAATAATCTGCCAGTGAAATGTGATGGTGATTGTAGTTTTATGTGGAGTGAGGCACAAACCCCTCACCTCACTGCTGCTACTCCTAACTCTGGTAAGTAGTATTGTCCAAGTTGTAGAGGATATCTTAAAATTATTTATAGTAATTAATTTAATTGAAACTTTTATTTTCAATTTGATTTTGAATTTTTATTTTCATCAGTAGTCTATTGTATTTGTAGCATAAACAACTCTTTCCAAATGTGAACTTATAGCTTGTGACAGAAATCATTATGTATATTTTGTATATTAACTATGAGTATAATATAAATGAAAATTGAGTTAGAACATAATTGAAAATGAATTGGAGGCAAATAAGGTCTTATTTGGTATCATACGATAAATTGCTAGTAGTATATATGGTACTATATGTGACTTACTGCATCAATCATTTCCAAAGCATTAATAGGCAAAAAAAAAAAAAAAAAAAAATTATAATTTATCCCATCCCTGCCATTGGTTCTATTCCCAGGCTCACCTCAAGCCAACACCATCATCCAGCTAACTGGGACAGGCTTTGAAGCCAATGCCACTCAGAACACCGTCACCATTGGCGGAACACCCTGTGATGTCATCAACGCCACCACCTCGCAAATCTTCTGCACCGTGGGTAACGGCCCCGTGGGGACATTTGACATCTTGGTTAATGTGGATGGGAAGGGGTACGCCAATCACTCCTCTGGGCTTCAGCAGTTCACCTATGACTTGGTGGTCACAGGGATCACACCCACCAATGGAAGCATTGGAGGTGAGGACTGGACTAAATGGTGAAGTAGTAAATTGTCTCTATAGAGACTTAATATATTTCACTTGATGCTAAGTGTTTAGAACCTTGTCATACAGTGGCTATAGAATTAGAATTTAATGCCAGTGCTGTTTTTGTTCAATTGGTACCAATGTAGGTACAATGGAGTTATGCGAAGAGACTTATGCATTATGAATAAAAGTTTGAAAAAAATTATAATTTGAATTACTTAAGAGAATTTGAATAATTAATACTTTACAAAAAAACAAGTAAACAATGTTGGTTTCCTTTGTATTTGCAAGATAAAGGATCTCATGGCAAAGTAAAGATTTCTGGTATGATATAAATTGTTTTATCTGTATATTTTCAGGTTGTACCATAGTGACCATATCTGGTTCTGGGTTTGCATCTAATGCTACTGCTACTGTTGGCGGCTCACAGTGTAAAATAGTCTCCCAGGATTACAGCAGTATTGTGTGTGAAGTCCCAGCAACAGTAAGTGCAGCACTGTACCAGTGAATACCAGTCATTATTTATAAAATGTCAGAATGTGCCAAATCTTGAAATGAATTTTCACCTTGGATTATGCCCAGTATAGTGGTCTCTTGTGTAATGATGGTAGAAAAATGACGTCCTTACTTTTAGAGCCCCCATCACTGAGTAAATAATAAGATCCTTACGGTAATATGCCAAACAATTCGACCAAGATTAATTAATTAATTTCATNTAAATACAATTAATTCTACAAGGTTAAAGGGATAATAACTCTTCGTATGAGATCTATATTTCACAATAAAAACATTGTGAATAACTCATAGAAACATAATACATTCTGTTTAACCACAAAAACGGCAGTTATAGCTATTATTCTGATATCTGAGCTTGTCTTTAGACCACGTGACCTCCATTGATGGCTATTCTCTGCTTAAATCTCTTAAGAGATTTTAACAAAAAAGCAAACTTTTTAGAAAAAAACCAGGGACTAACTTTGAATGTAAAAATGGATTCATTAACCATTGGTAAGTATGGGAAAATTGTTGTTTACTCCAGGAAAATTCATTTTTTGGCCGAAACGAAGAGTTATTATCACTTTAAGGTCCTTTGATGAAGGGTCGAAATTTAAAGCTTCATAGGTTAAAAAAATAGTCTCTAGAATGTACACTTTTTACCATTTTGGTGTTTGTATTTTTTCTTTTGACAAACGTTCAATATGCGATGCTTCATAGGTAAAAAAAACTTTTTTAGTCTCAGTCTCTCTAGAAATGATTTACACTTTTACTGTCATGGTGTTTGTAATATTCCCAGTCTGCCGCTGGACAAGCCACAGTGACAGTGACCCAGGGGACGGGGAATGCTGACAGCCCTGTTGACTTCACCTACGCTGACACCGCCACAGTGACGAGTGTGACGCTAGGGGGAGCTCTGGCTGCTGTAGAAGGCAATAATGATAATAATAATTATTATTATTAAAATGATGATGATGATAATTCTTCTTCTTCTTCTTATTATTATTATTCTTTACAAGTGACAATAATTGTTCATTGAAAATTACAGCCATTATCATGGTTTTCATTGGTAAAATATAACCCAAAAGTCAAAAGATTACTCAAACTTACAATCTGTGATCTGTCAACAGTTTGCTCAGTAATGATATATCCAGTTTCTCATCATCAGGAGGTACTGAGATAACCGTAAGTGGCTCTGGATTTGGCAACGCGGCCCACAGTGCCAATGCAGTGATGATTGGTGGGAAAGCGGCCACGATTGTGAGCTACAATGACACTGTGATAGTGGCCACTCTGCCTGGGTTGTCCACAGGAACATATCCTCTGAAGATCTACGTGGGCAGTACAGGATGTGCTGATATGATGTAGGTTGAATGAAGTTTCTCTCGGGTAAAGGGGGGGGGGGGGGGCTATTTCACAGGAAGGTGTATCTCTGAGGTCATTGTATATTAGTAATGCACACATTTTGCGTAACATTTCCCTAATTTTTTCTCTCCCTATTATTTTTGCATACTATTGTACCCAACAGTATGGAAAGTAATAAACAGTAAAGTAATCAATAATAATAATAATAATAATAATAATGATAATAAAAATAATAATAAAAAAAAATAATAATAAATTGTTATAGGTATTGTTTGGTTTTGTGGGTACAAAGATGTGGCTGAACAAGTTTAATTGTAGGTAAAGATTGCAATCAAGAAGAGCAACAATTTACCATGTTAAAGGGATAATAACTCTTCGTATGAGATCTATATTTCACAATAAAAACATTGTGAATAACTCATAGAAATATAATATATTCTGTTTTACCACAAAAACGGCAGTTATAGCTATTATTCTGATATCTGAGCTTGTCTTTAGACCAAGTGACCTCCATTGATGGCTATACTCTGTTAAAATCTCTTAAGAGATTTCAACAAAAAACCAAACTTTTTAGAAAAAAACCAGAGACTAACTTTGAATGTAAAAATGGATTCATTACCCATTGGTAAGTATGGGAAAATTGTTGTTTACTCCAGGAAAATTAATTTTTTGGCTGAAACGAAGAGTTATTATCCCTTTAACTTCTTTTAAACAGCTAAAAAACTTACAAAAAAATGAACATTTTGTTTTTTCTTTTAGGACAAACAACATTGCAGATATAGGCTATGTGCTGAACATGACAGATGTGCAGCCCCGGCGAGGCTCGGTTTATGGTGGGACCAAGTTGATACTGCAAGGTGTTGGCTTCAGCAGCGTCCCTGAGAACAACAAGGTGATGGTTGGCTCACATCGCTGTCTGGTCTCTGAGAGCACCAGCTCTAACTTGACCTGTACTGTGGAGAATACTGCTATTACACACACTGTGACTAATGTTGGTATGTGGACTTCTTGTTTATCTTATTTATTTATTTATTTATTTATTTATTTATTTATTTATTTATTAGTACTTATTACTAATACATTTTTACAATGAGTATGACCTTAAGAAATATACTCCATAACCATAAATGCATTTTAAGAATAACAATAACAATTTCAAAATATTTGTAAAAACAAATACTATATATTGCAGACTACTGCAAATGAAGAGTACTATATCAATATAGTGAGTAAATTCATGATATTTTTTATAAATTGATGATAGCTATTTGTATCCAGGGTGTCCTTTTTCATACCCCAACCAATTGGTCCATCTGTCGATCCATCCATTTGATCATGTATGTCTTCTCAGGAATGTATACTATCTAGATACATGAAATTTGTTGTTCCTTTCCAGTGGACATTGTGGATTTTTACTGGGAGCCAAACGTCTTGACCATATTTGTGGGCGACTCGGTGCGCTGGACGTGGTCATCACCGGAGAGCGTGACCGGTCTGGAGTTCCGTGTCCAGCAGACGGTCAGCGCCAGTTCCAGGGATTTGCCTGTGGGAGGATTCACAACTGGACCTGCCTTCACCAAAAGAGGTAAACTTTGGTATTTATTTCAGAGCTATAACCCCCCTAGCTTCCCCTTCTCACTTCAAAGGCGTTGAATTTGTCTGTACATATCTAACAATTTTAGATCATTGACATTTTACATGCATTGATTTTTTTTAACATTAAAAAAAGACTCTTGAAGTAAACCAGATTTAAATGTAATTATAAAGAAATTTTTCAACTTAATTAAAAATAAGGAGGTTACTGTTAATTAACCATTGATAAACTGTGGTCTGAAAAAGTATATATCTTATAGATTTACCATCCTTTGTACTTTGCATACATTAGGTTCCTTTGTACTTTGCATCCATTAGGTTCCTTTATACTTTGCATCCATTAGGTTCCTTTGTACTTTGCATCCCTTAGGTTCCTTTGTACTTTGCATCCATTAGGTTCCTTTGTACTTTGCATCCATTAGGTTCCTTTGTACTTTGCATCCATTAGGTTCCTTTGTACTTTGCATCCATTAGGTTCCTTTGTACTTTGCATCCAATAGGTTCCTTTGTACTTTGCATCCATTAGGTTCCTTTGTACTTTGCATCCATTAGGTTCCTTTGTACTTTGCATCCATTAGGTTCCTTTGTTCACCGCTTCACGGCTCCTGGTAGCTACTACTACTGGAGTGACTTCATCGATAACTACGGCACTTTCATGAGAGGCGTGGTGCACGTCAAAGCAAGACCAACGACAGAAGCTCAGGTGACCCTGAGGGTAGGAGATGTGGAGGCAGTTTATGTTGTACCAGGTAAGCTTACCATTCCGTGTACAGCAGAAGACTTGATGATTATTTACTCTGAAAAAAACACAGGTTAAGCATTCACATGGAGAAAATTGCAATTTTTTCTAAATGTTTGATATTGAGTTATAAGATTTTAATGTCAGTTATGATGAATTTTTTAGATGTACCTGGGGATGACAATTCAACAGCAGTGGGTAGCTACAGCAGATTTTCATGTGCAATCATTTTATTGATTTGGAGCAAAATCGCAATGTTTTTTCTTAAAATTTCTGATTGAACGATTTTACATTTAAATGTCAGTTACAATGAATTTTGTAGATGTGGCAGAGGACAGCAATTCAACAACAGGGGGTAACTGCCCTGGCATCACCTCCCTCATCACCGGCTGCGTCAGCTCTTCTCCCAATGCCACTGTGACAGAGGGCTTCAGCTTCACGTTTGACCAGTGCAGCAGCCCCAGGGTGGATGCCATCTCCAGGAACCAAGGGACGAGTACAGACGACATTGTCATAGATGGCGTTGGATTCAGCAGCAACATTTGTGACAATGTTGTGATGTTTGGTGATTTCGCCTGTGTGATTTCCTCAGTGAACGAGACACAGATAGTCTGCAGGTGAGGATGGTTGAGGTTGTTGCCTGTTATAATTTATGTGCGGACATTGCAATCCTTATGTCTTAATCTACATAGATTTATGATACACACTTACATCTTGTTTGACTGATTTTTAAAAAAAAGTAAAGTAAATTATTAGATGTGATAATGTGATGGTATTGAGTTAAGGAAATTTAAAAAAATGGAAATGAAAAAAAGAAAGCTACATTACAAGAAAAGTAAAAAAATTGGATATTTTCTGGAGGGCCATCATAATGTTACTTTCTGTTCCAAAATAACTTAAATAATTCAGGAAAAAATAATTTTTATATAAACATTGATAATCATACCAATCACATTGTATTGATTATAGAGTGGATGCCAATGGCACCTTCCCAGTGGGCGTGCCCCAAAGATTGGCAGTGTCCATCAAGAACCGTGGCCACGCCATTGTGTCAATCACAGATGAGCAGAGGCGGGGCTTTGTGCTGCTGCCTAGAGTGGACAGTGTCCAGCCCAGTGAGGGGTCACTGGCCGGAGGAACTGAACTGATCATTACTGGAGATGGCCTCATTGGAGTGGCAGGTAAAATAGACTTATCAGTTCAGAGATATCAGTGGGATAGATGGGACCAACAGTACCAACAGTAAAAAATAACAGTCGTATTATGGGACCAGTTGAGTAGGTGATAATTAACTTGGTTTTAACTTCAATGTTGTCTATTCCTTCAATCTCTTTTTGTTTGATTTCAAATTTGAGGCACTTGTGCCATAACCTACATTGCTAATCATAGGGTGTAAAAGATCTTTCATTGAGACTCCCTGTGAAATGTATAATATGTTGAGATAATGACTATATTTCAGGTTCAGCCCCCACAGTGTCAGTAGGAGACTATGGCGGCGTGTACTGTGACGTAACATCGTCTTCCTACACCGAGATACGCTGTCTGACCAGAGCCTCCACGCCGTACACAGGGAATGTGTCCGTCACGCTAGGTGTCCCTGGAGGACAAGTCCCAGCTGCATGCGCCGCACCTTCCTGCGAGTTTACATTCTCCAACAACTCGACACCCATTCTGTATAGCGTTGTCCCTCAAACTGTCAGTGGAGATAATACTCTGATGAGAATCAATGGTTCAGGATTCGGGAACAACTCGGCTGGCGTCGTCGTAACCCTTGGAGACGGCGTATGCACCGTCCGAGTAATCCGCGATGATTACCTCGAGTGCAACATGAGTGCCGTTTCAGCTGGGAACCAGCCATTTTATGTGAGAGTCATAGGTGAAGGTTATGCTCAAGGTCAGGTCACGGCCTTGACCTCTGAGGCTGTGATCAACTCGGTGGTGCCCTCTGCCAGCAGTGTGGAGGGTGGTACGCCAATTTTCATCACAGGAAGTGGATTTAAGCCAGGCAGTACTAGCGTTTCGATCAAGGGAAGCGAGTGTCATGTGACCAGTGTGACGTCTGGGCAGATTTCTTGTATTACTCCAAGTAAAACAGGTATGCATGTCTGAGTCTGAGATTAACCACATTGTTTGTACTGCGGTCTTTCTTATGTTCAAGACCATTACCAACATCAGATGTTTATGACTGTAGGCTTGGCTAATGATTGTTGTTATAATAATGTTGATAAAATTGAAAAAGAAAATGTATAAAGAGAATTGTATATTGTGTAATATACAAATAAAATTTAAAGAACTGGCATGATTAAAAATAAGATTAAAAATAGTTGATTTTATACAGCCAGTACATATTTCAAGAGAAAGCTGATCTTAAACTATTGGAAGCTGTGGAAAACACTTTGCATTCATTTCCAGGGACAGTCCAAAGATCTGCAGATGAAACTGTTGACCTGATAGTCACTGTGGACAATACCCAATACCCGTCAGAGACTTTTGAATACAAAGTGGCAGCCACACCTGAAATCACAGGAGTCACCCCCTCTACTGGTTCTGCAGGTATGGAAATTTATCGGGGAATATTATCACACCTTTTGAAGTAATTCTCCAGAGATTTTGGGAAAATTTTCAAAGATATACTCTCAAGGGACTAATGGAAAAGTTCAGGTGACACTTTAAGATATTTTCCAATAATTTTTGGCTGTTAAGACACATGTAGAGTCAGCCATATTGCTAGATTTTAAAAAAAAACATTAACAAATCTTGTTTCTCAAATTTGAAAGAAATATGTATCCAGAAATCATGCAATTTCAAGTGCATATATTATACAATAACTGGATACATAATAATAATAATAATTCTTATTTCATGATGAATCCTTGTAGGAGATACAGTGGTCATCGCTGGCACAGGATTCAACTCCACACCAGCTGTGACCATAGATGGCGCTGTGTGCAATGTCACAGATTTTACGACCGTTCAAATCACGTGTGTCTTGGGTCCTCATGCTGCTGGGAACTACCCTATCAAGTTGTACACTGCTAGTGAGGGCAATGCCATGGGAACTGTGGAGTTTTCTTATCTTCTCAATGTGACCAGTGTGTCTCCAGTCACAGGTAAATGGTAGTTTGGGTAACATGAGAAGAAATGAATTAGGTGGCCAAAAGGAATCCCCTGTAGGATATTATTAAAAAAAAAGGATAATGAAAAAAGATATTGTCATCCTTATTTTTTGTTGAATAAACAAATTTTTTTACTTTATCTGACCATGACTTAAGCTTGACCATATTTAAGTTCATTTACAAACAGAAAGGGGGCAGCACTTTTCAAGAAATTACCACTATGAAATTACGGCATCAACATCAAACATCAGAGTGATCAAGACCATGGTTAATTGGTGCAAGCTTTAAGAAAAGCTGTCAAAATGTTCAGATATGAGCTCAGTTTTTTCACTATGAAATCCAAAGTTTTCTGTTTTGTTCTCCAGGAAGTTTTGGTGGAGGCACTGTGCTAACTGTAAGCGGCTCCGGCTTCCTGGCTGATGGAACTGTAGTCGAGGTCTGCAACGCAACATGCGCCGTCAACAAAACAAGCTTTACTGATTCACTGCTGGAGTGCCAAACTCCTCCTAATGCAGGTTTATGCACATTTTTATTAAATTATATGGAGTAAAAAAGCAAAAAAAAATTATTCTAAAGATTTGTTGGGAATTTTGATATGCTAGCACAAACTAGTGCAATGGGGTATTAAGTGTTTATAGCTTCGTATAAAAAATGCTCCAGATGCAATGAATAGAAAATCAATTACTTATGTTTATATTATTATTATTATTATTATTATTATTATTATTATTATTATCTGTAGGTTCTGGCACTGTAGACTGTGACGTGAAGGTGGCAGTGAACAATGCTGAGAAGATCATGGCGGCAGCATTCAGATACGATGGCTCTCTGACTCCTACCGTAGATAGTGTGGAGCCTTTGAGGGGCGGTACTGGCGGAGGCACCAGAATTACCATCCGCGGCACAGGGTTTAGGTATGTTAAACACAGCTGTATGTCAGGCTATTGCATTGATGAAAATAGATTTTAAAGTTTATGGTTTATTGTTGTTGTTGAGTTTTTTTGCCCAAAAGGCATGCCAATTTTTATGGAAATTAAAAGGTAAAGTTTGCACCCAAGTAATTTTATAACATTAGACAAAATGTGCAGCTTCTATTTCCTACATACTTATATAATTCTACCCTAAAACATTCTTTGAAGAAAAGCTTGAGAAATAAAATACTGTATTAACAAGGTTGTGTCTAAAAATGTGAATTTGCCACACAAACTGGTTGCCAACGACGGTTTGGAGAGGTCGGGAGTAGCGAGTTCAGATGTTTATATATGTATACCCAATGTTTGCACTTATTTGGAATGTTATATCAGATGTTTATATATGTATATGAAGTGTTTATATTTATTTGGATTGGTCTACAGGCAGTTCACATCTCTAAATTGTCTATTCCAGCACCAACCCTGGTGAGAACACTGTATCTTTGGCTGGCACCAAGTGTGTGGTAGAGTCTGAAAATGCTACTACCATTATCTGTGTCACTGAGCCACACTCTCCATCCGTCAGGACCAGCGTCCGAGTGGAAGTGGCTGGACAGGGGGCAGCGCGTTCCGTATGTACTTTTATTTCCATTATTTCATTGTATTACTATTAGCAGTTGTCTACAGCTCTGACTCATAACTTGGGGTGTGTTCACTATGAAAGTATGGTACTCCTATTTAATTAAACCAGCTTAACCAGGTCAATTGAAAGACATGCCTCCTCAATCAGCTGGGGGGTTATTGATTTTCATGTATGTTCAGTTGCACTCAAAATGAAGTTGAAAAGCTTCCAAAAGCTGAGAAATAGAAAATGATTCCATTGAATATGTCAATAAAGTTATATTTAGAATATTTATAAAAATTAGATTGGTACTCTTTTGAGTGGAATCTTTTTGATAGTCAAAATGGGAATTAGATTGAAATTCCACAAGTCTTAAGCTGATAAAGAGTATCTTATAATTTTATTGTATGAACATTACAGGGGAACGTGACCTACTTCTACGTTGACCGCTGGTCCAGCAGGTGGACCTGGGGTGGACAGGACCCCCCAGTGGCCGGGGACTTTGTGGTCATTCAGCAAGGACAGTCTATACTGCTGGATGTCAGTACACCTGTCCTGAAGATCCTGCTGATCCGTGGCGGAGAGCTGATCTTTGACGAGGCAGACATTGAACTGCAGTCAGAGATCATCCTAATCACAGATGGGGGTCTCTTACAGGTTAGTGTGGGGGTAATAATAATAATAATAATAATAATAATAATAATAATAATAATAATAATAATAATAATAATAATGATGATAATAATAATAATAATAAAAACAACAAGATTGAGAAGAAGAAAAACATCATAGAGAAGAAGAAGAAAAATAAGAAGAAAAACGACAACAATAAGAAGAAGAAGATGAACAATGACTTTAACTTCTTGTTTTTGTATCTTTCATTAAAGGGTTGCGATTTATGTAGAATTTTTCATGTATAGAGCTGGAATAATGTCTACACAACTTAAATTGGTTAAATAGTCCACCATAATAGATACTGCAAAAGAATTAAAATTACAATAATCCATAATGATGATATTATTCTAGGTTGGCACGGAACAGGAACCATTCCAGCACAATGCTATCATAACCCTGTTTGGCCACCATAGATCCAAGGAGTTGCCCATCTATGGCACCAAAAACATCGCAGTAAGAGACGGACGCTTGGAGCTGCATGGTATGCCCACTTCTGTCACTTAGTATTTAGTGAAAGAGAGTAATCCTGTTCATGGTCTATGTGAAAATAATGATAATAATGATAATGGTGATCAGTGTTTTCCTCTAAGGAAAATTAGTTGCTGGACCGAAAGTCCAGCCATCTTGAAAAGTAGCTGGACTGAATGTCTGCTGGGTGGGAAAACTTCTCAGCCGGTTCTGAAAGTTGTCAGGCCCGGTCAGACGGTCCAGCCTTAATTTCTAACACTGATGGTGATAATTGATATTCAGAAATAATTATGCTGAAGTGATGATATAATAATAATTGGAAATCTGTATTTTTCTATGCAGTGATCTTCCTCAAGTTTCCTCCAAGACCCTTGGTTGTAAGGCCTCAGAGCCTGGGGTAGCGCTTACACTCGCCAATTTAGCCAGATGCTAAAACTGACTTAAATTGGCTAAACAAAAGGGCTTGATTTGACTTAATTTAGTCAAATTAAAGTCATTTGGATAGCAAATTGACAAAAAAGTGGTGATTTGGCTAAGCGAAAAAAAATTGCTAGTGCTACCCCAGAGAGCTGTTTAATTCTTCTTACTTTTTTCTCACAACCCCAAATCATTATAAACACTGCAATTATGTTAGAAGTATAATAATGTTAATAATAATAACACCTTGTTCCTGCCTATAGGTCAGCATGTCCCAATCACATGGACTCACTTGGCGGCCACTGTGCCTGCTGGTGCCACGGAAATCTCGCTGATGCTTCCTGTCACATGGAAAGCTGGCGACGAGATCGTCATCGCCACCACGGGACTGCGGCACAGTCAGAGGGAGAGTGAGAAACGCACGATCACGGCCGTGTCTCAGGATGGGAGGAACGTCACGCTCAATGAGTCTCTGACGTAAGATTTCTGTAAAACTCCTCATAAGTGTGTGATAGACAAAGTCAGACTTGCCTGAATATTACTAGCACTCTTGGTATATTTGTACTTTAGATGATTGTCAATAGAGCCAGCAATTATAGATGGAAAAGTTTAACACACTGCTTTGCTCCATCTTAAACAAAGTAGCTTAACATTGTCAATTTGCGTTCCATCTAACCACTCTCTTTCTGTTAAAGTACGTAAGTGCTTGTAGGTGAATATACCTATTCCACCAAGTCATCAGACTACATTTAAAGTGAACATGATGTCTGTTACAGCTATTCCCATCTTGGAGTCACGGAGACCTTCTCCACTGGACAGTCGGTTGAAATGCGTGCAGAGGTTGGTCTCCTCTCTCATAACGTCAAGGTCCGTGGAAACAACGACCCGCAGTGGCATGACGCCATTGAGGCTTGTCCAGCGGGCTTTAACACAGGTGAATAATCTAAACGGCTCACAGGTCACAAATTTTACTAGTTTGTGATAAAAGAAAATTTGCAATTTGATATCATTAATTACCTGACAGAAGTATTTCAACAGCTCGCTGGTATTCACCTTACTACAACTTGTGGAGGTGCATTTCCTGAACATTATATGTTCCACAGGTATATTTTGATGGGTATATGCTTTGGATAGTTATATATTTTCTGTTTGTTATATATCCTATACATAACCTAACAAAAAATGAACTTCTCTGACACAGGTGAGTTTGCCACACAGACCTGCTTCCAAGGTCGGTTTGGAGACGAGGTTGGGAGTAGCGAATTCGGCGCCCACATCCTGATTCACCCTACAGTACCAGGTGAGGAACGGGCCACGGCGCACATCGAGTACGTTGAGCTGAACTTTGTGGGACAAGCGTTCCGTCTGGGGCGTTATCCCATCCATTTCCATCTGCTGGGTCGGGTCAAGGACGCCTATGTGAGAGGATGTGGTATTCATCAGTCCTTTAACAGGTACTTGGATTTGATCTAGGTTTATGATATAAAAAGATAAAAGCCTTTCGTAAACAGATGTTGTTCTGTTCAATCACATGGCAAAGCATCCATCACCTATAAAATAATTTGTCCTCATATTATTAAAAAGAATAAATATGTGTCCCTTTAAAGATAGGGACTTCTTTGTATTAGTGTATTTTGACAATGTTTTTAAGACCTAATGAATATAAAGTGCGTTTAATGCTTAACATAGTTATAATTATTACGTATCACAAAACTTAACACAAAGCTTAATGACAATGTTAAGCATTACTGTAATATTTTCTGTTTTTCCATCATAGGGCTGTCAACATCCACGGTTCCCATGGTGTCCTGGTAGAAAGGACGGTCATCTACAACATCATGGGTGGCGCTTTCTTCTTGGAAGATGGCATAGAAACAGGCAACACCATTCAGTATAACTTGGCCGTCTTTGTGAAACAGAGTACCAGTCTGTTGAACGATGACATCACGCCATCGGCATTCTGGGTAACCAACCCCAATAATACCATTCAACACAACTCTGCCGCGGGCGGCACGCACTTTGCGTTCTGGTACCGTATGCACTCTCACCCTGACGGTCCCTCCTTTACCACCTCTGTGTGTCCCAAGAAAGTGCCCATGGGACGTTTCTTTAACAACACGGGACACTCCCTGGGATGGTTTGCTATCTGGATTTTCCAGGTGACTTGAAAATGATTATTTTTATGTTAAAGTAATGAATTTTCAACTCCAAAGCAAAATAAATGAGAAAGTTGTCAAAGGAATAAATAAAAATGAGTGTTTCTTTTAAAGGATTTCAATGTAATATGTAAGTTCGAATGTCAATTTTATTTTGAGATATTTTTCGATAATGTGGTATTTTTTAACTAAGTACGTTGCCAAAATAGAATTTATTTTCAGTTGGTTTTAATTCATCTGTTCTAGAATGCAGTTAATGGATTTCGGTTTGGAGTGTAAGAATTTAATGAATTTCATAATGGAACGAAATAAATTATTATAATGTTTCAGTTGAGCTTGAATATTAAAAAAGAAAGTTCAGTGTATCATAAGTGAATGTCATGTATTGTAGGACATGTTTCCTATGGAAGGCGGAGGCTGTGGCAGCAACACTCCTGTACAAGCTGTCTTTGATGGTAAGGATGAACCTGGATTACAGTTCTCCAAAATTTGGAATAAGAAAAAAATGGAGGGTTGAACTTTTAGGAAGAATGTTTTTGAATTTGTCTCCGTTGGTAATGTGTAGCAAATCACTTGTACCCTAAATTTTAACAATTTTATCACTGTCAACCAGAAAACTCATATAACAAACTTAAGCAGAAATGTGATTTTTTTTTTCAACTATCTGCAGATTTCCGTCTTTATGGGAGTCACAAATATCATTGGCCTAGGTGTTCTTCTGGACCCCATGCCATATTTTGAGACTTTTTCACTAAATGACAGTCTCTGCCCTGTACGATAGTTTATTAATTTGTTATTATTTATTTGAAGAGCACATACCTCTGTGGTAATTTTGATAGCTCATTATTTTCATTTTCTCTTTCTCCAGGTCTCGTGTCTTGGCACAACGAGAAGGGATCTGAATGGGTGAATGGCGGCGCCCTGGTGTTCAACAACTTTGTTATGGTGGACAACGAGAAAGCTGGGATAGAGATGAAGAAAGTGATGAACGCACACCTGTGGAGCGAGACCCGAGGTGCCATGATCAACAACAGCTTGATTGTAGGACACACTTCACTAACCAGCGCCTGTACTAATGTGGGGATTATACTGCCATTTTCACCAGGTATATATTTATTTATTTATTTATGTTTTATTTTATTTTATTTTATTTTATTTTATTTTATTTTATTTTATTTTATGTGATGGATGCACTAGGTTAATCTGGTTAAAATGCACACATCTGATAATTAATACAACAATGTGGAAAAGTTAATCAGTATACTAAATTCTATTAAATATGACTAAAACTAACATAGAACCTGAATATATGGTGTACTTACATATTTATAATTTTAAAACATAAATTTTATAAATGAATATTCCCTCCCCAGGTCTGCTGGTCTACAATACACGCTTCATCAACTTTGACAGCAGCTGTGTCGCGTTTGGGGTGACCTCTATAGATGGCACGTGTTCAGTGCTCTGTGGAGGCTGGGAGTACAGGCTAAAGAACCTTGACTTTGTTAACTCGCCTAATAAGGTGAAGTGGCGTTGGGAGCACGAGGGCGTGCTGCATGATACTGACGGCACATTTTGTGGTGAGTAGCGCATTGTTGTCCTAGGCAAGTGTTTTAACTGTAACTTTGGTGGTATTCATTTGGTAATGTAAGATCAGTCTTTTCAGATTAGATTTTACTGAAGAAATGCCCGGGGTACAGACAGTGTGATATTTGAGACCAGTGGCATAAAGAGAATGGAGAATATATTTTATATTTTTGACACAAGTTTGAATATTGTTACTTCAGGAACTACTGGCTGTAAAGTCGTACCTTACAACCCAACGATTGACACCTCGCGTTGTGTTGATGACAATGATATGAGTGTAGGTATGCGTGGTGTCGTCTGTGAGCCAACTGTAAAGTTCCACAGATTTGCCTTCAATGGCGCAGTGCCTCGCTCGCTGGAAGGAAAGGACGTGCTGCTCATAAACAGCCATGGCGTCTCCCATGTGCCATACATGTATGTGTTATGCTTATTTAGTATTTTGCTTACAGTCTACTATTGTTTTCCTGTTAGCTTTATATTGGTATCAAAATAAAAATAGTTTCTAAAGAAATTGAAGGATTTTTCACACATAAGGCAAGGTATTTTGGCCCTTTATCAAAAGGCGTAGTCGGCATATTGGTCATGTGATCAAAGCCCCTTGGCGAAGGGTCAAAACATGCCACCTATCAGGTAAACAACATGATAAGCCTCTTTGGAACCAATTGACTTTTTAAATGTCACTACATGAAAGACAATTAAAGCCTATTTTACAATACCTTGTTCAACATCTATCCTGTTCCAACATCTCTGTTTTAGGAAGAAGCGTCTGACTCACAAACCTGGGTGGATGATGATGGTAGAAGATGCTGCCAACTATAGGTTTATATTTGACAAGGAAGACCACCTGACCAATATCACTTACAGTGGAGTTTTCTATGGATTTGAGGTATATATGGTTTACACTGTTCAGAGGCAGATTGAGGCCATCTGCTGGGTCTTCCAGAAGATTTTCAAGTTTACATTGATGAGTATCTAATTTTTTTTTTCTGTCCGAAGACAGTCAAAAATGGAGGATGGATCAGCAAAGATGATTTGGAAGACTGTCATAAAATATCTCTGGATCGGCCCTGCTGTTTTTATTTCAACATCAAAGCACAAAATGTTTCTAGACCAGTGGCGGTGGGTTAAACTTTACAACTGATATGACAGGATGGTTTCTCTATTCTTATTTAAGAAAGTAGCCGATAATAATGATCAATATCAGTTTTTAATTCAGTATCAGTTCAGAAGCATGCCTTATGTATATCATCTGTTAAAAAGAGCCATAGGGGTTGCAACAGGAGGATTGTTTCTTTTTTTCTCTGTTCAAGACAATTGATGATAATAATGATCACTTTTAACCCTCTTTCCTGCTGATTTTGTTCATGTCTTATTGTTCTGTATAAACTCAAACACTCAGAAGTATCAATTAAGGACAAACAAGAATGATGTACGATGGTCACATTAATCGTAAGATCCCTCTGAAAAAAGAACTGATGGAATTTAGTAGATTACATTAAGTAATGCGGATAAATATAACATTTAAGTAATGCTTAAGTCTGACAAAAATATTTAACCGTCTTTATTTCAGCCTAATGACTATGTGATCATGTCCCACAACCTGACCCAGCAGCCGGACAGGTTTTCCATTCTGTCCGCCACCAAGACCATTGCGGAGAGCACGGCGGCCAGTCTGGACCCATCCGTGCATGAAAGTGGGGACTATCATTTCGATGTGAACAATAAGGAGGTCTTCTTTTTGAGTAAGCTACTTACGTATGAAATAATTATATTGAATAAACTGAGATAAGCAGATTTTTTTGCGATGAATTTTGATAATGCCGATGTGCTTTATCTGTTACGCTGTTCATGGTGCCAAGGATTTCTGTTTGCTAACAATTTTGTAATAATTACTCTTGTCATGATATGTACATATGACAGAAAAGCACGGGTTTATAAAAATGATATAACAATTTATTTATTGTGTTTGTTTCAGTCAAAGGCTCTCCCAACATCGCATGGAACAACATAGGGGTCAATTTCCGTGTGTATCGCTGTTTCTTTGCTGACTGTATTCCGCCCCCTGACCCCAACACAATCCCCCCTGCCCGCGAGCGCCCCAGTGTGTTCCAGCCCTGGTCTGAGGGCGCCACCTGGGGGTCAGCACAGGAGGACGATGGCTTTGGTTAGTATACAGTGTGTGTGTGTGTGTGTGGAGAGAGAGGGAGAGAGAGGGGTAGTTTATTTTGAATTTTCTTGATATGAAGTAATGATTTTAAAGGTACTGTGAATAGTTTGGATAAAAATAAATTCAATCTTTGAAAATATTTATGTTTTTTATCTTATTGAGAATTTAATAACTTCATACCAAGGATCTTATGGACAAAATCATATAGATAGCTGTTTATTGTGTATTGTTTTTGTTGCTAGGCAACATGTTCTGGGTGACACAGCTTCAGGCACAGGGTGTTAGAAAGAAAAGAAGTACAGCGCAGCCTCCAGATGGCAGTAATATCAAGATCAGCGGCGGTAAGTTCGTGTTATATGTTGAAGTTTATTAAAATTAAATCTTTATTTTGTATGGAGTAAAAGTAAATATTTATTTGCAAACAATTATTTTGTTGAGAAACCTTTAATAGGTTGAAATTTTGAATGTTCAAAAAGAGCATACCACATTTTAGTGGGAAGAGACTTTGCATGACTATTAACATTTAATATATTTATGAAAAAAATTTAGAAGGAAAGTAAATCATTTCTTATTCTCATTATATGAAACATTATGAAAAACCTCTTTCAATGTATTGCAAACAATTATTTTTCCTAAATTGAAGCAAGTTAAATCAATTCTGTACTAAGTACTAAGTAGTAATTTATAGGAAGATTATGACAAAATGTGACATTTATACTTCAGGTAACTGGATAGTGGCAGATACAGACCTCCCGATAATGGAGAGATTGTACATCTATGGAGTTCTAGAGCTGGATCACAACGTAAACGCAGCCACAGGCACCTACCACAACTTTGTCATCAACGCCACCTATATCTTTATACAGGTATTTAAAGCTCACTTATAAGAGAATTGTAAATTGTTTTTATACCAGACATGAAGCTAATCTCCAATGAGACACATGGTAATAAAAATTATTATCATGCCTGAAGTAAAAGATTTAATTGATTGAGTAATTTATATAGTTATTTATATAATAGTTCAGTCAGTTTTCAGGGTGTATATCTGATAGATTTTGTTTTATGAAGTATTCTCCTTTGATTCTGGGGCTGTATATCTGATAGGTTTTGCTTTACAAAGTGTTAATTTTTGGTTTCCAGGGTGGTCGTCTTATCATTGGCTGGGAGGACAGCCCATTCCTGGGCAGTGCACAGTTAGTGCTGCGGGGACATCACCACACCCCGGACATGCCGCTGCCCAACGGACCCAACATGGGTGCCAAGGTCATAGGTGAGAAAACAACGCTTTCAGATGTGTGGCATTTTTTTGAGAGAGTTTCATACCCATAGGAGCAACGTGTGTGATTATTGATAGAATTATAGATATGAAATGATAATTTAGGATGTCTTACTTTCATATTTTCATAGTGATTTCAGTTGTTCAGATCTTCTGTCCTGAATGATCAGGGATGCACCTTTTCCCTGGCCCTCTTCTATTCTCATCTTTTGCTACGATCTTTATCTTCAACTTGCTGCCATACCTCCCTTCAAGGCAGGTCAAGCTTGACTTGAAGGGAAGTACATGTACTTTCATATTTTCACGTTATTAATAAAATGTTCCTATAGCCCCCTTTACACTGGGCGATGCCCTGCCTTTGCGAAGCATGAAACTGGCATTGCTGTGGTCGTAAAGAAGGAGACACGGGCATTGCTTTAGTTGCAAAATGAATGCTCAGTGATTGTCCAGTTGTCAGCACATAATGTTTTTTGACTCTCAAAAGGGACCGTATTACTGGATGCAGAAAGGACACCATGCAGTGAAAAAGGCCTTATCCCATAATTAAAAGTAATTTCTTTGTCATTATGGTTTTAGGTGTGTTTGGAGGGCTGGACCTTCACGGCAAGGACAGGTCAGTGGTTTGGACACAGCTGTCCCAGACGGCCAACCCTGGGGACAACTCCATCACCGTGAAGGCCACTGTAGACTGGGAGATCGGGGATGAGATTGTGGTGGCACCTACCACTTACACCTCTTGGACGACGGAGACTTTCAGAATTACTGCTGTCAGTGGAAACGTGATTACCCTCAATGATTCTTTGGTGTATAAACATGAAGGTAAGTGTGCAGGATAGAAATTTCTACTGATTTATATAAAAACAAAGTTCATTTTGGATTGATTTGCATAGATCCTTGGTGAAGATGATTGATATAATATGTAGCTTCCCTGCTGACTTGTAAAGCAGTTTGTGGTTCTGCAAAATGAACTTTCTTTGAACATAAGATCCACTGAAATTATATGGACTTTGGGGCAATTCTGATAGTAAATGGGAACAAATTATAATGGGTGATAATCTTTGTTTTTGTTTGCAAATTTGCATGATGATTTATTGAATTAAATATTTATCACTTTCCTTATTTTTCCCCCATCTTATTTTAGCATTTAGTGAGACGCTAGCCAATGGCGTTACGTACGAGATCGCTGCCGAGGTTGGTCTGCTGTCCAGAAACATCAAGATCATTGGTGCCACCTATGACAATCTCTATGTAGAATCGTTTGGTGCCAGGTTAATAGTTGGTCGCTTCATACAGTCAGGGACAGAGTATAGAGGTATGAACTATATGTTATACAAGTAAAATGGTATTAAGACTCCGTTCACATGGAAAGTCTATTTTCTAAAAATCTATTTTCTATTTGCGGTATCTTGTAATCACGGTCTCTGTGCCCTGTATATCCCGAGAATTAATTACAACTTTGGAAGTAACTGGCTCGCGCCGCCAGTAATTACGCCGCGGGATATTCAGGGCACAGGGACCGTGATTACAAGATACCGCGAATAGAAAATAGATTTTTAGAAAATAGACTTGTCATGTGAACGGGGCCTAATAGTATGTTGTACAAGTCTATGAATATCATAAATGTGATTGTTTTGACATAATGAAATCCATGAAATTATGTTTTTATTTTTTATTTGTTTTTTCATCTTTCAAGCTATATTGGGCCTGTGTCTACCTCTCTGCATGGAAGATTTCTTTACTAAACCAATTTGTTGCTTTTTCCCCAGGTTATGCTCGCATTTCCAACGTAGAATTCTACCACAGTGGTCAGGAAGGATGGATGGAGCCATGGGACCCGCGCTATTCCATAGCATGGGTTAATGCAGGCTCCAGCGACAACATGAAACCCTCCTACTTGAAGAAAAGTACCTTCAATGAGAACTTTTCTCCAGCCATTGGAGTGTTTGATACCAGTAACATCACTGTGACTGGCAATGTTGTCTACAGAACTGTCGGGGCAGGTAAGAGTGATCAAATATAATCATTTAATTAGTACCACCGGTACACTGGCGGTACTCATGGTTTTAGTCCCGATCAGTCTCGTACAGCTCAGCCGGCTCCACAGGATGGCGTGGGATACAAGTCACCGTTACCGCTTCTCCTCCTAGACCTGGGTCCCCATCTCCTGGATTTAGGTCACATATTATCTCAACTTGATCTCCTGATTTTTTTGTCTCAGTCGGTGCATTGGCCTGGGTGTGACGCGTGTTGAAACGCACCCTTGTCAAAATTTTTGAAAATTCAATGCTAAATATCTCCCAAACCGAAGGAATTATGGGAAAAATTTCTACAGATGGCTGACCATAAGTTATACGTGGAGATTTCAAATATGCCCTTGGATTTGACCTTTGACCTTTATTTCAAGGTCAAATTGGCCAAAATTTTCTAAAAAAGGGATATTTTTGCGAAAATTTTTTTAATTTCTGCCCTTTTTCAGAAACTACACAGATCTAACCTACTATATTATGGGCAGGTTTTACCCTTAAGGTCATCTTTCATCTTCTTGAGTTTGGGGTAAATCAGTGCATTTTCACGGGAGTAGCGGCTAGTAGATGCCGAATCTGAAAACTCTCTCTAATTTTGGAATCGTAAATGCTAGAGATCTCTTGTTTTTTGCATTTTGTAAAGCTTGTCAAGCACAACACTGAAGTTGGTGTTTTTTTTTGTTTTTGTTTTTGATAGGGCTAAGGCGTTGCACTTTTTCAAAAAGTTCAACAAAGGATATTCAGTAGTGAAAGTCAAATGTGAAATACTCCAAAATTAGCAGAGATATGCCCATATTTACTGTTGAACTTGAATAGGAAGTCATATACTGGTAATCTAACTGTGACCTTGAAATTGACCTTTGTCCTACTTTTCATGATGAACTGCACTTTGCAAGTTTTCTGATCTTTATATCTCCAAAACTGGCACAGATACGCCCATAATTACTATTAAACTTGACAAGGAAGTTATATACTGGCAATCTTACTGTGACCTTGAAATTGTCCTATTTTTTATGATGAACAGAACTTTGCAAATATTCCAGCCCTTATATCTCCAAAACTGTGACCAAATCTTACTGTGACCTTGAAATTGACCTATTTTTTATGATGAAAAGAACTTTGCAAATATTCCAGCCCTTATATCTCCAAAACTGGCAACGATACACCCATAGTAACTATTGACCTTGAATAGGAAGTCATATACTTTGACCAATTTTTTTACCATGAACTGAACTTTGCATATTTTCTTGCCTCTGATCAATGTTAGGAAAGACAGGTCAATTGGAAAATCACCTTGGTTTGACCAGTTTTACAGTTTGTTTTTTTTTTTTTTTTTTTTTTTTTTTTTTTTTTTTTTTTTCATTTTTTTGAGAACTCTCTTTTTTTTTTTTATAGAGATCAAGCAAAAGACTGGGGGGGGGTCCCC